CTTTCTCTCGAAATATATTAAACTCATATTACTTCTGCAGAAAAATTTTAACAATTAGTAATTACCTTAATTTTATTCTCACAAGTAAATGTTCCCAATTTTTCGAGATGAAACAATTCAAAATATTAAGCTCGCCTAGGTTTGTGTTCTCTTTTTTCACTTTGATCCATTTTGTGCTGCTGGTAAAAAGATGAAATGGAATTATTTTTTATGTCCAAAAAACAGAACAAACACATTTTTCGTTCAAAAAAATGGCATTCCCTACAATTACTTATTTATTTTGTCTTTTTTTTTTTTCGAATTTGGTAATAATCCTTCTTACAGAATAGTGGTATCAAGCAACATGGAAATTTCCTGTCATCACAACTAGATGTAACGGCACCCCCAAGACAATTGTGCGAATGTACAGCCAGTGCAAATGTGTATGCTGATCAATGTGCGCTAAATCCTGACTATCACGATAATGAGGGCAGCTTTGAATTAGGTAATGAACATATCGATGATGGTACTTCTGGTCAAGTAGAACATATCGAATGCGAAGAAGAGGATGAAGTAAGAGGAGTAGAAGAACTGGGAAAACTAGAAGGTGGACAAGAGGAAGAATGGGATGTAGAAGACGATGATAAAGACCTGAAGAACTATGAAGGGGCAATAAATATAGCGTCCATATTGAAAAAACATTTGCCCCTGATGCCGAAAGATGAAGTCGAGTTTCTACTGATTGAATGTGTTAGAATTCAAATATCGGATTACTATGGTGCCATGGATAATTTATTGAGCGAACTGCATGAATTAGCCTCGAAATATGGAATGCCAGAGGAAGAGAAAATGAAACTGTGGAATGAATGCGAACAAGAATTATCTAAAGATTTTAAAGAAGTAGATGATTATTATCATGAAATTTATAATATTAATATGAAGGCCGATACAGTAGAAACCGTTTCTTTCCTTTCATCCTTAACGAATTTTCTCAACTTGTGGAAAAAATGTTTACAGGAAACTGAGAAAAAATGGTACACCATTTTTAATGAGAGGACTCAAGAGTATAAAGCAAGTGCTCAAGAGACCGTATTGGATGCATAAGTCAATGGATCAGACACTAAGGAATCGAAAGAATAATGAATTAGACGCAGCTGGTCACCAATAGGAGAAAATATGAAGGATGTAAATAGAACACATATTCCGTCCGCAGCGCTATAATTTGTACAGCAGTTTACAATAAAATGGAGAAATAATGGCTTAGTCATTGTAGACATATTAGAATTGATAAAATGAAAAAGCAAAAAAAAAAAAGAAAAATTCTTTCCAGCCATACAAGGAAACATAATAGATCAATTATGAAATTCAATTTAGTATATTATCGGGTACACGAATATGTATGCGCCTTTTTTGTCCGTTTCAGTGTCGCAAGAAATGTCTATGTTTACAATAGCGCTCGTAGTAAATATATATATTCATACACATATATGTACATAAGTATATCACATTTGTGTAACCTTTCCTTTTTTTGTGCAATATTGCTCGTGACCAAACTACCCTTTTTAATAGTAACCAGTATGCTCGTTTTTCTGTTGTCTTTTACTTTTGTGTTTTTTGTTTCTCTGTGTTTTTGTTGTCGAAATTCACTCAGGACACTACCTGCTCCTGTGTCGTCAGTGTTCTTCCCACAGGTGTTGTCAGTTTCCGAACTCGTTCCAAAAGACACAGAGGTACTTGATGTAGCTCCGTATACACCTCGGCCTTCATTCTGGACTGTGGAAAACCCTGGTGTCTTAGGGCACTTACCTGTTTCTTGCGTATCCTTTGATGTTGGCGTTGCTGCTGCGGCTCCAGGTTCTTTAGCTTCGTTGTCTGGTGGTGGTGGTGGAGGTGGTGGGGGTTGTTGTCCAGGTCCTGGTCCCTGACCCGGTCCTTGTCCCGATCCTGCCTGATCATTTTCGTTCTTTGGTTGAGGAGGTGGGGGTTGTGGTACGGATGGTGATGTTGGGACCGGCGCGTCCGCAGCAGATGTTTCTGATCTCCCTTTGGGTGAGGGAGCCGCCGGTAGTTGCGCGTTCTCACTACTGTCGTCCTGAGTACTGCCTTCCGTGGACTTCGTGCCGTCGTGGTTTTTCTTCTTGGCTTCCGCTGCTGAAAACAGGAGACCGGAAGAAAGATGGTAGAAAGATGATAAAAAAAAAAACGGACACCAGTGGTACAGAAAGAAGGGGGCCGGGACGGTGCGGTCAGGTAGCGGCAGGGTGGGGGTGCGGCTCGATGCATGGATCGATGCAGTGGGTCGAGGTACGACTCGGTGGAATGCGCACTCGGTGGACTGGGTCGGGATACATGATAGCAGTACAACTTTTATTTGTCGCCGTCATCTCGTCCGCCGTCCTGTGCCTCGTCGCCGCTACACGGTACGCTCGCCGCTGCCATCGTGGTCGCCACTCAACGTCAACGAAGTCGTTTGCTGTGCTCTTCCGCCGGGTGTGCGTTGTTGTGGTGGCGGCATTCCTACTATTCGTAGCTGCCGTATATTCGTACCATTCATATGCTTATCTCTCATTTCCTGAATTTTCTTTTCTAATGCTTCCTTCACTTCGTCCATTTTCTTGGTTGCTTTCTTCCTTAGTTTCTCCTGTTCTGGCTTTATTTCAGTGATTTTCGTTTCGTTCACCACATTCGGGTTACCGTCCTTCATCTTTCCCTGTGTATAATGCGCCCACTTCGTGTTACAGAACCGCGTGTCTTCTATATTCTCGATTCCTTGCAATATTTGCCCTTCGTACAATAACCACTCTGCTACCTTCCAATTTATGGCGTGTGCCGACCTTGTATGCTGGTCATACCCACATGCTGTACACTTGCCTGCTGTAACAGGACCCCCGACCACTCCAGCTCCGTGTGTTCCCGCGCTCTTCATATGCCTGAATGCTATCCGGGCATATTCTACACCTCTCTTGTATCCTCGTTGCCCGTTGCAATACTTATTTTTCAGTAGATGTCCAAATACATTCACTACTTCACATCTTAACATATTCTCCTTTTCGTCCTCGTCTGTGCTCTGCCGTTCCCCTGTATCGTGTTCATTCTTATCCCACCTGTTTGCGAAACCCCATGCAACACTCATAACTCTGCACCTGACTACGTCCGCCACTGTCTGATCTTTCCTGGGTGCGGGGTCCACATCATCCCAACCTACGTTATAACAGTTTGCACCATATGCATCCGCGAGGTCTTTGTGTTCATCCATATATTTCGTAAAATGTTCCAACACTTGCTTCCACTTGTTCCATTCGTCCTTCTACGTTTGGCACGTGAACATACAAAAGTCCTCATGAGCACGTGCTACCTATGTTATTCGCAGTCAATACATGTACACCGTGACATATATGCATGTAAGCCTATGAATAAATTCCTGTTATATTGATTCCTGTTTCCGCGCCATCCTTGCTCTCGCTGTGTAATCTAACTTACATTCAGAGGAGGCACCACATACACTGCGGTACGCGGCCGCTGCTGGGCTCTATCTGCAGCACACGCCTCGCCGTGTCCAGCCTTCACGATCTTCCCGTTCTCCTTCCCTCCTCCGCCAGGAGCACCGCCCGTACCACCGTTACCACCACCAGGTGATGCCATGCGGCTGGACCGCGTCTTCGCTACCGCCTCCTTCGTTGGCACCGGTTTCTCCGCTACTGGTGTGGCAGGTACCTTGCCGTCCTTGCCGTCGTTGCTGCCTTCCTTGCCTCGTTCTTCCCTCCCACATAATATGTGTGTTCCTTCGCTCTCCGCCCCCGCTCTCTCTGCTCGCCTTCTCTGGATCTCTTACTCGAAACCTTTCCCTCGAACCTTCTTACTCGGCTACTTCGTCGAATCCGTCGTACACTCGGCCGCGTGGGTCGACAATCCCCTTTATTCGGCCGTGTTTGCTCGGAGAGACAATCCTCCTCCGTCTTACACTCGGCTACTTCGTCGAATCCTTCTTACACTCGGCCGCGTTGTTCGACGCGTGGCTCGGAGAGACAATCCGCCTCCTTCTTACACTCGGAGACAATCACGTGCATGAGGACGCGGTGACGGCTAGCAGCAGAATACGAGGGATACCAGAGAAGGAAGCGCAGAATGCGCAAGAGCACAAAGAGAAAGGGAAAAACAAGAAAAGCAACGTGGGCGCAGTGCGCAGCATGTAGGAACGGTAAAGCAACCAACAGGGCACCAAGAGTAAGCAGCAGTTGCGTTGACGAGCGATGTCGCATGAACAAACAAACAAGAAAAAGAAAACCTTAAGTCCTAAACCTCCTAAACTCTGAACGCTTACACATGGACTTAGTACCCTGAATCCCAAATCCGGATTCCTAAAACCTGAACCATAAACCCTGAACCTTAGGTAAAATGGAACTTACATCTTTAAGCCACAAAGCGTTGGGAACTAGATTCCCAAACCTTAAAACAGTGTGACCCAGATACCTGAATCTTAAGCCCTACTCAAAACTATATTCTGAAACCTCTAAACATTGAGACCTATATCCATAAACGGTAAGCACACTGAAAACTAGGAAAGCGAAACCTAAACCCAGAAACGCTGAAAAATGGCATCCTGAACATTAAAACATACAGACACCTAGGTTCCTGAACCATAAAAACCGTACTGCAACCTACGATCCTGCACAATAAACCTATGTTTTTTTATCACACTGTTTTCTAAGAAGATTTATATATATTATATGTTACTGTTCATTATTCCTTTTATATTTCTTTTAAAAATATATTTAAAATAAATTTTGACCTACATGTTTTCGCACTAAAAAAAGGAATACTGTAATAACGCCATTTCAAAACTTACAACCCAAACTTATCAATTAAAGAGCTAAGAAAAAAATATATATTATGAATAAAAACTGCAAATATATATAATACAAAAATAATTATTTGTTTTTTTGTTAGATGAATATATCTAAACGGAACAAATTTTTTTTTTGTTAATTATTTGAAGGAAATAGTAATTCCGTTTATTTAGAGCACCATTATGTGACCATAAATAGATTATTTGTTCTTTTTTTTATTTTTTTCTTTTGCAAGCATTTTACTTTTGATTTAATTCTTTCTTTTTTTTTATATAAATAGGCCATATTATTTGGTACATTACTTCGTAGCCAATTTTTTATATTATATTTACTAAAACAATATATAATATACTTATCTGGATAATTTTTTTTTTTTTTTTCTTTTAAATGTTCTTTATTTGAATTTCTTGTAATTACCATGGTTGGGTTAAAGTTTTCTTCGTGACATATACTATTTAATCAGATTTTGCGGCCCTTATTTATAAATTATAATATATAATTAGATTATATAGGTTTCAGTTCGATCCTTTTTCATTTGTTGATTATTTTTTGTGACTTTTTGCTTTAAAATGTTTTCTTTTTAGATCTGCGTTTTCTGCTCAACCTGTTTGTTGGCCTCTTAAAACATGTTTTATGCCTATATGGTTAACGTTTCATGTACCCCTTACCATTATGAATTATTGTATTGGATTTGGCTATATACATTACATATGTATATTAGTTAATTTCACGTTGCACTAATTTATTTAGTTTTTTTGAATTGTTGTGCGGACATTATATTTACATGGGGGTAATAGTAGCTTGAAATCGAACGAAATGCTTTATATATTAAAAAAACAGAAACATATTTTGCATTCATTGGTGTTTTAATGTTGTTCATTATATGTTATATAGAATATTGATTATTTTTTTTTTTTATGAATTGATAGTTTCCAATGTTATCATGGTAGACCGCGATTCATTTAGCAGTGCAGAAAAAATAAAGACAACGCAGTTTGATGAAACATCTACGCAGATTGATGAAACATCTACGCAGATTGATGAAACATCTACACAGATTGATGAAACATCTACGGAGTTTGATGAAACGTTCAAGGGGATAGATGGAACACCCATGATTGATTCTTTTTTTAATAAGGATGGTTTATTATTGAGAACATATGGATGGTTAGTAAAAAATGCTATAGGCATTATAATACTAATACATGGTTTAAATTCGCACGTTAGGTTTGGATTTTTAAGACATAACGTTGATATAATAAATTATGAAAAGGCTTTGTTAAA